TTGGTAACAGCTATACTGAGCTGTAATTCACATACAGTTTAGCCCTTGAAAGTGTACAATTCAGTGGTTTTAGTCAATTCAGAGTTGTATAGCTGTCAATCCATTTTGGAACATTTTTATCACTCCCAAAAGAAACCCTGTACGAGGTCGGGTGTGGTGGCTCATACCTGTAATCCCAACACTTTGGGAGGCCGAGGTGGGCAGATCAAGAGGTCATGAGTTCGAGACCAGCCTGACCAATATGGTGAAACCCCATCTCTACTCTTCTGTAAATACAAAAATTAGCTGGGTGTGGTGTCAGGCACCTGTAATCCCAGCTACTCAGTAGGCTGGGGAAAGAGAATCACTTGAACCTGGGAGGAGGAGGTTGCAGTGAGCCAAGATTGTGCCATTGTACTCTAGCCTGGATGACAGAGCAAGACTCTGTCTTAAAAAAAAAAAAAAAAAAAAAAAAAAACCTGTATTCTGGCCAGGTGCTGTGGCTCACACCTGTAATTCCAACACTTTGGGAGGCCAAGGCGGGTGGATCACAAGGTCAAGAGTTCAAGACCCTCCTGGCCAACATAGTGAAACACTGACTCTACTAAAAATACAAAAATTAGCTGGGTGTGGTGGCACACGCCTGTAATCCCAGCTACTCTGGGAGGCTGAGGTAGGAGAATCACTTGAACCAGGGAGGCAGAGGTGGCAGTAAGCTGAGATCGAGCCACTGCACTCCAGCCTGGTGACAGAGTGAGACTCCATCTCAAAAACAAAACAAAACAAAAAAACCCTGTATCCTTCAGCAGTCACTCTCCTTCCCCCTTCAACCTCAGGCAACCTTGAGTCTGTCTGTAAAGATTTCTGGAGGTTTCAGGTTAGTGGAAGACATTCCAATTTCCCAGCACCTCTGTTAGTGGCAGAGCCAGACTCAGAGATCCCCAGGGTAGGCCCTGCAGCCGGGGTCCCCAGTTCTCCGGGGTTCCCCAGTCAGGGAAAAAGTCCCGGACTTTCTTCCAACAAGGACTTTGAGAGAGAGAATGGCTTTTCTCTACTGTCCCTAAAGATGAGTTTTGAATAGGAAACATTAGAGATCTTTGTAGCTGTTTAGAGACACAAATTTTGGCGCATTTGAAAGATAATTTTGTAATGGCTTCATTCCTAAGCATTATTGCAAAATTAGAAGCTTTTAAAACTCGTTTGTTTTCTAGGTCACTGAAGGTCAAGAAATTTGTGTGATTGAAGCCATGAAAATGCAGAATAGTATGACAGCTGGGAAAACTGGCACGGTAAGTCCCCAAGTCTCCATCAGCCCAGGCCGGCCTGTGACGGAGGAACGTCCACCTTTGAATCATGGATGATCTGGCTGCAAAGGAACCACAGAGCCAGGCGCCCTCTTCCCCTTCTCCCTTTTACAGAGGAGGCCGCTAGGATTGGGAGCTTTTTCCATTCTGCCCTGATGCGTCCCTGCCTCATCCAGAGCGTGCCTTCCAAAAAAGTCTGTATATTATGTTCAGGTAGTCAAAGAACAATTGTTCTTCACCTTAATGTCTTTCAAATTAAGGAGTCTTTAATTTTTAATGTTTACATCTGTCTTGGAGGCAGTTAGTTATCTGAGACTTAGGTCACACAGCAGGAAACGGTTTTACAGATTGCAAAAATTAATGTAACTCTTCAAGACAGTTTCTCTGCAAAGAGAACAATTCAGTTGCAGATCAAGAGAAGCTGAAACCCCATGTGCATGTGGGACTTAATTATTTAGGGAGAAAAAAAGGAGAGTATCTATTAGTACTGAAATTCATTAATAGTGAAACTTCAGTGTATTTTTTCCTTGAAGAAAATAGAAAAGTCTTTTTAAGCAGTAACTTCATTATTCTACCTGTGACTATAAGGATCCCATTAGTAGGTAAAGATCTTTTCCGAGGGCCGTTTGGGTTGGGAAGTGTCTGCAGGGTGGGGCATGATTGGAAGCGCAGGGCTGGCCATGTTGGGCATGTGGCCATGTCTTGGGACCACTGGGCGCAAAGAGATCCATCAGTTCAAAACCAGGTTTGCATCAGAGAGACGCAGCCTCAGTCTCATGCTCTGTCACTGCAGAAGGCAATCAAGCTGATTCTCAGAGAAGGGGCAGGGAGAACAGAGACCCAGGTGTATGCCGGTGCTGGAGGGGTGTGGACAGCTACGGCGTCTTGGTGCGATGTGGAGAGTAAAACGGCATGATTTGCAGTGTTTTAAGGAATTCCTTCTAAATTACTTTGTAAAAAAGTGAACAAGAAAACATTGGTTTCTGTTGATGTAAAGATGCTTTTATTGGTTCTCTGGGATTTAATGTTTGTGCTCGCTAGTGTCATGACACCCGTCCCTGATGAGAACTTGGCCTAGTAGTGGGGACTGAGAAGGTGTGTCTGCTGCACGCCAAGGGCCCTGTGCTGTGGGACTGAGGTGCTAATGCAGAGATGAACTTGGCCTTAGTTCCCTGAAGGGTCGTGGTGCCACCCATCAGTGGGTTTCCCGTCCTCAGGGCCTGGATCTCCCTCCACCCTCATGGCTGGAGCCATGCTGTGCATTCCGCTCTTCTCTCCCCATCCCCAGGCCTCTCCATTCCAACCTAGCCAGGAACCACAGAAGTGGCCCAAAGCCCCCATGCAGAATAGCAGGGCTTGGTTCCTACCTGCGAGGCCACTTTTCCTCCCAGAGAAAAAGTTCACAAAGGAAACACATCCTCAACTGTGGCAATCGTAGCGTCACTAAAACGACGTCACGTAGGAGGGCTGCTAAATGGAGACAGGAGCATCGTGGAAAGCAGCCTCTTCAGTCCAAGCAGCAAGGTCTGCAGTGGCCGATTAGTTCCAACCCGTTGTTCATTTTCAGGCACGAGCCAGAGCCTCCACCGAGTCAGATGACTGTCTTTTCCCCACCTCAGCACCCCCTTGCTAATTGAGCCTGAACACAAATTTGGGAAAGCAAAATTTGATAAAGATTGACCAAAACTGGTAGGACAAGAAGGCACGGTCCACACACCCATGATGCTGGAAAGGGCAACCGCACAGCCCCACCGCTGCTGAGGACTCGGTTTTCCTTCAAAAGGAAGGTGGCGCTCAGGCTAGGGAAGTCCTCCTCTTACTCAGCAGCTGATCTGACTATTGAATGTTCTGTTCCTTTTTTTTTTACACTAAATATTCCATTAATTCTCAGAGAACATTTCCACAACCTAAAGCCACAGAAAGAGAGGGAGGCCAGGGGTTAGAAGTCACCTGGCAGTGAGGAGCCCGCCTCAACCTGAGTGCGCCCAGTGTGAGGGGCCAGAGCGCAGGCCACAGCACGAGTTCCGCGGAGCACAGCCCTCAGGCTGGCCACTGTGAGGGTGCTGAGGACAGAGGAGGCGAGAAAGGGGAGGCGTGCGGCAGAGCCACCAGGGCACCTCCCCGTTCACCAGGATCCCTCCAACCGGCTCCGGTGGGGCGGCTCCTGCCTGGGCTGCTGGGCCCGCAGGACTGTGCATTTCTAAAAGTGGATTAGGAGCCTACCGCCTCCTGGTTCTGGTTACTAATTCTTACTCTCCCCTCCCCCTGCATTTTTAAAAATTCAAGGTGAAATCTGTACACTGTCGAGCTGGAGACACAGTTGGAGAAGGGGATCTGCTCGTGGAACTGGAATGAATGATTTATAACCTTTCAGTCATCACCCAATTCAATTCGCCATTTGCGTGATGCTTTCACACAACTGATCCAGGCATTTTACAGAACACCCCCATGCAGCTACATTTCACATCGTCATATTACACAGAATCAAGACCAATATTCTGCCAAAAAAATCACCAGTGGAAATTTTCATTGATGTAAATGCTGTATGTATGATTTGTACTTCTCCTGTGAGATTTCCTAGTGTCAAACTGAAATCAATAAAACAGTATTTGTCTAACTATTAGTTTGTCTTCATTCAAAAAAGGGGCAATGTATACTTAGGCGACAGGCTCTGCCAGTGGACCACCAGCATTTCTTTGTGATCCTTTCGGAAGTTTGCTATAAATGTCATTTCTCTGCCTGGCTTTATTAGCACTTGACTTTTTTCATCTCATTGCCTGCCTTCTTCTGGAAGTGAGGCCCTCACTCCTGGTGCTGATTTTCATAACTTCTTAAGGACTGGGGAGTGCAGATGCAGATTTAGGCAATCCCCTTCCTGCTGTGGCTCTCTCTGTGGGTGCAGCACTGATGGCTGACCCCTATGGAGGTCACCTTGAGGCTTCCTGGCAGCCTAGGATGCTCTGTCTGCACTATTTTGAGGGTGAGCATGCTGCCTGGTCCCTTCCCCATTGCACAAGCAGGGCAGTCACAGGGTGCTTGGGGGCCTCACCCACCCTGTCAAGGCTCATGCTGCCACAGGCTGATGAGCTGAGACCCATCCCAGCCTTTTTGTGTTTTTTTGTGAAGCAAGTTTCCAATTAAGCAAAAGAAGCTAAAACTAATGATCATGTTTTTGTACCAGATGCAGTTAGCGATCACAGTCTACCATTAAGTTGAAGAGTAATTGAGCTCTCCCAACAGAGAACGAGGTTACTGAGGATCACAGCAGCTGCATTTTCATTTGATTCTGAAATTCTTGGAATATGTTTCAGACTTTGCTGGGAAGCAGAAGCAAAAAGCCGTGCACCAAGTTGAGTCGATGCTGACAATTATCAGATGGAGGTGGGTAGTAATTGGTACTTCGTGCTTTGTTAAAATTATTTTAAGTGCTGTTTGTATTTGGAAGCTAAGCTTCTGTCAGGTCTGAAGAACAAATTACTAATGCGTTGGCTCTTCTCTGAAAGGACCACCCCCAAATGCTCTCCCTTCAGGGGGCAAAGATGGGGCCTGACTGCCGAGATCCGGGCTCAGATAAACTTCCACTTGAGTCTGGGTGCTCAGCTGTGTCTCCCAGCAAGTGGCTGTTATTTTTTTGGACCAGAATGTAAATAACCTTCTACCAAATAAGTATACTAAAAAAAGTGGGGGTCAGACACAGCACCAACACTTTTATATTTTATTTCCCGAAACATTGACTTCAATTTTAAATAACCTTTAATATTGCTGTGAAGCTTGATATAAAAAAATATGAAGAATGGTGCTGTACACACTCTGATACACAGCATACTTTCCCTGTGGACCTTCTTTATAAATTTTACCCAGCCGTCTAAAATCAGCTCTCAGGGACTACAGGCCACCATCAGTCTAGTAGCGCTGCTGAAATCTAGCTGCAACACCAAGTGTTTTACATTGATCCTAAATGTTATCTTGAGCTCAAAGCGGAGCAAACAAAAACAACCGAACGAGGAGGAAGAGGAGAGTAAGAAGAATGGGGTGTGATCACACAAATTCTCTAAATGCCATTTAGGGGAATTAAAATCCTCCAATTTTCTTATCAGGTGGAAAGATGGGAGGGAACCAGCTTGCTACTTACATGTCAACATTATTTGTAAAATCCGATGCCACTGAAATATTGGTTCCTTTTCCGGTGGATTCCTTGGAAACGGCTCTGTTCTGCTTTTGCCTTCACCCAGCATGGGCTGGGCTGGGAGCATCTCGGAGCACCAGGACGCTCATGCCTAGGCCCACCCTGCCCGCCCCGCTCATCTGTTCTCCCGGGGGTTGTAGCGCAGCCCGTGTGGCCCCTCAGAGTCATAGCTGTCGTGGTGAGGGAGCTGGGCCCACTCCGGCGGGAAGGTAGCCGTGCTGTACACGAAGCACTGCGCCTCGGCGGGCGCCAGCGGCTCCTTTGCGCCTGGGGCCCGGTCCTCCAGCAGCTGCACCCGCAGCGCCGTGCGCTGGTACAGGGTCGGGCAGCTCTCGAAGTCGTCCAGGAAGCGCAGCATCCGCTCGTCCACCGCGTAGACCTCGCCCTCCACGCGGCGCCCCGAGCCGGGCAGGTGCAGCAGCCACGGGATGTTGTGCTCCCCTGCGATCACCAGCGGGTAGGGCTCCAGCGTGCGGCCGTGCGCCCGGAAGTCTGCGGAGCCGTGCGCGCCATCCCGCAGGACCCGGTGGTTGGGCTGGCCCCGCTTCAGGGTGCCGTACACGAAGAGGAGGGCCATCGGGCAGAGCTGCGGGGAGAAGAGGCGACTGGTGAGCCCGCAGCGGGAGTTCTGCATCTGCACCCGGGGTCGGCGCGCGGCCCCGAGCGTCTCGGCTGCGGCCGCTCCCCTGTGGGGGTCGCAGCTCGCGCCACAGGAATGCGAGATGCAGATGAGAATGGCCAACGGTTTTCACACATCATGAGACGTTTCGATTTTCGGTCATCACTCAAACACCTGAAAACCGTCCCTACTTGCGGGCTGTTCACAAAACCAGGTTGGCTCTAACCTGTGGACGCAGTGTTTGCCAATCCCTCCGCTAGAGAAAGGGGCACACATTTGTGACTTCCCTGATGTGTCTGCAGCAGAAGGACACCTGGGTTCCACAGGAGGAGGACCCAGCCTCCCCGCAGCACTTGGATGGATGATGCTCCTCAGCCCTGCAGGGGCAGCCCGGCCTCGCCGGCAGACCACCACCTCTCAGGAAGAGCCTGACCTGCTGACTGCGCAGCCTCCCTCCTGACGACACCAGTCTCCACCCCCTGCACCCCAGGGTCACAGCTCAACGCCAGAAGATGCCCTGTCCAGGCCCTAGCAGGGACCTCCAGACACGCCCTGTTCAGATCCGCAGGTAACCCCCGCTCCCGAGCCCAGCACAGCCGTCTCACTGTTCTCAGCCCCTGCATGGTGGGGTGGAGGGTCCAGCAAGGCCGCTGCCTTCTAGAGCTGCTGATCTGGGAAAAGGCACTCCTTGTACTAGGACAGTTTGTCAAATCTTGTCCCAGCAGCCTGCCCTGCTACCTGAGCCCCACAGAACTGCCATTTTCCTGAGCAGTTTTCAGTTTTTTAAAGGATTTTGAAAACTGCATAACTATTATAGAAAAATTAGAAATAAGCAAAAAAAAAAAAAAAATGGACATATAATTTTGTAACCACCTGTTATCTGGCTACAGTGAGAACACAGGTTTCAGCACTAAGTTCCCTGGAACTCGGGTCCTGGCCGTCTGTCCCAGTGGAGCTCTAGCAGCCAGGCGTTCTGCTGTTTCCCCTCTCAAGGTCTTAGAGGGCAATGGTGCTTCACGGTGACTCCCTGTGGTGACCTTGGCTCCGATGTGAAGGTAAATATTTACCACTTGCCTGGGTCTGGGCTACAGACTGTTATATAATGACAGAAGTGATTTGCGTGAAAGTGACTCAAACAAAACTGGAAGTGAACACTGAGAGGGGTGGAGCCCCTCGCTCCACTGCCCTATGTGCCCCTGCCATGAGGTGACGGACGGCCTGTGTGGCGATTCCTTGAGATGGGCTTTGCAGACGGGACTGCAGGGGCAGGCAAACAAGGCGGCGGCTGTCCAGGTACCAGCAGCGGCTTGTGACCGGCCAGAAATGCCCCTGGACACCGGCGCTTGCCACCAATCCTGCAGACAAATGGCCCTTGGAACGGGATTTCTTTTTTTTTTTTTTTTCTTTTTGAGACGGAGTTTCGCTCTTGTTACCCAGGCTGGAGTGCAATGGCGCGATCTCGGCTCACCGCAACCTCCGCCCCCTGGGTTCAGGCAATTCTCCTGCCTCAGCCTCCTGAGTAGCTGGGATTACAGGCACGCGCCACCATGCCCAGCTAATTTTTTGCACCTTTTAGTAGAGACGGGGTTTCACCATGTTGACCAGGATGGTCTCGATCTCTTGACCTCGTGATCCACTCGCCTCAGCCTCCCAAAGTGCTGGGATTACAGGCTTGAGCCACCGTGCCCGGCTGGAACGGGATTTCTGTTTTCTTCTCAGCAAACAAGAGCTGCTCTGGGGGTCTAGGCCTCGTTTTGCTCTACAGGTGTGCCCCTGCTGCCTCTCGGTTCTGTGACCAGCCTGTGTGACATCAGTGTTCCCCAGATTTCAGGCACATTTTACTAGGAAAGGTGTGACCTTGGGAAAAACACATGGCTGGCCAGACGTGCACCCCACAGGCCTGGCCCTGCGATAGCCCTGGGACACCCGAGCCAGCGTGGGGACACAGTTTAGACTTGGGAACATGCCGGAAGAGGAAAGTCCAGATGTGAATGAGGAGAACCTGGGGTAGGACAGAGCTGAGGGAAGAGGAAGAAGCAAGTGCTCGGGCCTGAAGTTGCCAGAAGTCAGCTGCTGGGGAAATGGAGGATGGGTATACAGGAAAGTGACAAAAGTCCCCAGCTGAGAGCAGCGCTGGTGTCTGGAGCGAGCACTGGATGGAAGGGGCTGCCTACAGCAGCGGGCGAGGAGCCAGCCCGAAAGATGAGCACCCGGGGGGCGATGACGGTCAGAATCCTGCAGCGCAGCTGCCCTGGGGACTCGTCCCTCCCACACCTGCATCCCAGCCCCATCCACGCTTCCTCTGCCACATCTCCCCCCGCTCTCCTTCCCCACCGCCTGCCTGTGCCCCTGGCTTCTTTGTTCCCCTGGAGCCTGTCCCTAGTGCAGCACCCAGAGGGTCCCTGTCAGTCTCTCGCAGCACACTCCCTCTCCCACCTTGTCTCCTGCACTCTCTCCCCTCTTGCGCAGGCGGCTCCTGCCCGCCCACCCCGTCCCCGCGCCTGACCTGGGGCTGGGCCCACTCAGTCTGTCATATCACCCTGTCTGGTTGTCTCTAGAGCACGTGCTCTCTCAATCATGGGTCTCATTTGTTGCTGGAACATGGAAGAGCCAGAAGAGAACTTTGAAACAGCCCAGTCCAGCGCCTGCAGGTGAGGAAGCTCAGTCCCAGGCTGGTGGCGACCTAGGACCAGCCAGCCAGGCAGGGCTGTAGTCACACTGCAGACCAGCTCTCCACAGCCGGGTGCCTGCCTGGCTTTCCCTGACACAGTGTTTTAAAATGGCATGCATCCATAATGGAAATAGATCACTTTACAAGAAAAATGAAATTTCTTACTCCTTTCCACTCCCTGGAGGCAGCGCTTTTAAGGCTTTTAACTGTTGTGTTTGGCATTTATCTCTATATTGTTACTTACACTTCTACTTCTTGATGTCTTAAATCATGTCCTGCCTTTTTACCCATAAAGTGGGTGAGCACGATGGTTCTAAAGCACAGACTTGAACGGTGTGACTTTAGGCAAATCACATAATGTCTCTTACAGCTTCCTCAACTGTAAAATGAAGTCACAGCAGCCTGCCTCAGAGACTGCGGTGGGTTACCAGCACACATCCTGTGTGGTCTGTTCACATGTGGCATGTGCCACTGCTGTCATCACTGTAGAAGCCTGACACCTGACTCTCCTACCATGTCCCACCATCCTCCCAACAGACCCATCACAGTGCTGGGTCAGCCCCAGACCGATTTCGCCATTAGAACCAGGTAAACGTGCTCTCAGCTGAGACACAGGGCCTACTGTGATTACATTTCCTTTCTGGGCCCACTTTTTTTCTTGAAATTAAAAATTGTTTTAAGTTTGGTTTTCTGTTTTGCATTTTGCTTAGGTTTCTAGGACTGTAATTCAGCCTCACGTTTTCTGAGAGCACAGTCAGAACCCGGCCCTGACCATCCCCCGGAAGGTCCTCCCTGCCCAGCTCTAGTCTGGGCTGTCCGTGTCGCTGCCATCCAGGCCACTCTCATTCTTGTCCCGCCCTCCGGCTGGGCTGATGGCCACATTTTGATGAAATATATTCTCTCCCACTTTTGGTTAATCACGTGGTTGGGCAGATGATTCTGGACATCATTTCCCTCAGAAATCAAGTCTAGAGACATTTCTTCATTGTCTTCTCACTTCCTGAGTTCTTGCGAGAAGTCAGTACGCTGTGATCCAGGTTCCCTGGGTGTGACTCCAGCTCTTCTCTGAAGGCTCTTAGGGGTTTCCCTTTACCCCTCAGATTCTAGAATTTTCCAGTGATGTAGACTCTGGTTTTTTCATTGACTGTGCTGGGAATTTCGGTCTGAATGCTCCTTATCCTGGATCACGGGGCGTTTTCTCCCCTCCTTCCTCTTTGTTCTCTTTCTGACACTCCCAACGTTCTAGTGGTGGATGTCCTGGCTTCAACTCCAGTGTTCTTAACTTTTCTTCCTTCCTCCAGGTCTTCATAGTCTGCTTTATCCTCCATTTCTTCTATTAAAAACTTATTTGCCATCATAGTATCTTTTTTTTTTTTTTGAGACAGTGTTTCGCTCTGTCGCCCAGGCTGGAGTGCAGTGGTGTGATCTTGGCTCACTGCAACCTCCGCCTCCTGGGTTCAAGTGATTCTCCTGCCTCAGCCCCCTGAGTAGCTGAGATTACAGGCACCTACCACCACGCCTGGCTGATTTTTTACTTCTAGTAGAGACAGGGTTACACCATGTTGGTCAGGCTGGTCTCGAACTCCTGACCCCATGATCTACCTGCCTCAGCCTCCCACAGTGCTGGGATTACAGGTGTGAGCCACCACGACCAGCCTCCACTCTTTTTTTTTTTTTTTAAGCTGCTTTTTGTTCATTCACAGGCTCAGCACTATCTTAAAAAAAATTTCTTTTTTTTTTAAGTTTTCTTCCTTCCCTTCATTGCCTCCATTTCTTTTAACTCTTCCTTTTCTCTGTATTTCAAGAGGTTTTCTTCATACATGATCTTGACTGGAAAAGCTGAGCCACTCTTTGGAAGTGAGGCTGAGCTGTGTGAGCCTAGCCGGTGGCAGGCCTTGCACGGGGCTCTGGGGACAGGCGCTGGGAGCTCGGCAGACTTTCCCTCAGTGCTCGTTTTCGGGGTGCCACCTCACCACCACTCAGCTAGGCATGTGTCCCCAGCACCAAGGCGTTTTTGCTCCCCAGAAAGGAACCGGCTGTCCTCCGTCAGGTGTGAGGGGAGGCGGCAGGGTCTCTCAGCCCTTCTGTGTCTGGGACTGTCCCTGCCTCTGTGGCCGCGGTTCTGGACTCCTCTGGCGTTGCAGGCTTTGCTCAGCTGACTGCTCATCAGCCTCTCGCTGTGCAGGAGCCTAGGTTTTCGGTGTCTCCAGGCTAAGTCAGCTGTCACTCACTTCTGTGTTCCATCTTCCAGAAACATTTGTCTGCTTTCCTCCACTGTCCTTGTGGGTTGTTTGAGCAGCATTTAGGAGGAAACTGGACACAGGGCCTGGCCTTCCCATCTTCTCTCCTGCTGCACCGCCAGCCCTAGCCACCTCCTCTTTGAGAGGCTTATGTGAGCCAGAAAGGATGTGACAAGACAAACTGCTTGCTTAGAAGAATGGTGAGAGGGTTTTCTTCAGGTGTAGGTGACTCAAGGGTATGTCAAGTCCCCTGAAGAAGCCAGTAAGTAGCAACTGCAGCACCTGAGTGAGGGCTGGGTAGAGGGGGTGGCTAGTGACAGGTGAAGGAGCCAGGCAGTGGAGAGGCAGAGAAAGCACTTGCTCTTCCTGCTGCTATGAGAGAAAGGGAAGACGAGGCAGAATTTGCAGAAGGAAAGCCCGATGCAGCCAGGGAACAACGCAGCCATGCAGGGAACGACACAGCCACACAGGGATGGCCTGTGTCATTGAAGCCACAGTGTCACTGATAGGAGACTGAAGACAGACTTGTCAAAGGGTGCCTCATGGGAGACAGCTGCACAGCGCAGGTGCTCGCTCTCAGAAACCAATCCTTCAGTAAGAGGTGGCAGCACCATCACTCAGGCGGGGAGACTACCGCCAGGCTGAGAACAGTCCTACGGAAGCAGCACAGACTTTGGAATGAGAGGTGTAAGATGCCAGGACATAGCAGTACTCAGCACACAGTGGTCTTTGTTTTTACTATTCTAGGGATTCAGCTGCAAAGGAAGAAAAAGATTTCATCCAGGAGTGGACAAGCAGGCTTAGGAGAGAGGCAGGAGGAGAAGACAGTCTTGCAGGATGGTGTTGCTGAAGGCGGCTAACTCCCAGCAAGGACCTGACTGAGGGCCACCTGGGTGCATGGGCCCCACATTGAGTAGTTTGTGTCATATATCAGTTTATTTAACGCTCTCAACTCTATAAAGTAGGTGGTATTATCTTCATTTAACTGATGAAGAGACTAAGATGAAGACTCCAGCCCAGAGCTGGTGAGGGGCAGCAGCAGGAACTGAAGCCAGGCCTGCTGGACCCCAACAGCCTCTCTGGCTCTGCCACTTGCAGTGACCCCAAGGCCCAAGGGAGATGACCCTGTCAGGTATGGTGCAGGACTCAGGCTCTGCAAGGGCAGAAATGGTTTGCAAAGGACCCTACACTTCCTTCTGCTTTTGGTTCCCCACTTGTTTTGAATTTTATCT